GACTTTTGGCTGTGGGGGGCTGCCAAGGACACTGTGTACGCAGGCAAGCCCAAGACACTGGTCCAGCTTAAGCAGAACGTCGAAAGATACCTGCATCAAGTCGGTCCCGAGACTCTGACGAAAGTCGCTGAGAGTTTCCAGGCCAGAATCAAGGCGTGTCTCAACCGCGGTGGTGCCCATATCGAGAACGTGAACTACAAGAAGTTCGCGTAAACTTGTGATCGCAGGAACTCCTCTGCCCTCTGGCAAGGAGTTATAGCACTGATACGAGAGTAACCTTGTTGAAAAACGACAAACGTGAGCTTTCATATGGTGTATGTTTTAATGCGTTAATACTTGTCAAGCGTTTATAATACACGTTTGAAACTGTGACACTTTTTTCGGAACACCCTGTTAACGATGCCACTTTTTGACTTCTTGTGTCAAATAAATTCCATCATCTGGATAGCACGTCAACATTCTATTTGACATTTTACAACAAACGTATACTATTTGGCGCGACTAGCCTCATAAATGTTCTGAAACTAAAACCTTTTTTTCGCAATTGACTTGGACCACGTCATCCCAGCTTATGCACGACAAAAATAAAATAATGCTTCAGGATCACTGGCCTGAATTCCAATGCTTCAAGTTTACTCAAAACCGGTGTGGCTGAGGCACTCTTCGCTACATCTCGTGACGGCCACCATTGTGTTGCATTTTTTTCGGTAAGCTATAAGTTAATAAGGAAAGGATTGGTGAGTGGGTTGAAAACAGCCCTCACCCTCCACCCCCCCTCCTTCTGGAAACATAAGTAACCGAAAGATCTGGCGATGGTTTATCCACCTCCTCTGCCGCCGCGCTGCGAGGCCTCGATTCGTTCGGTATGTGGCTTCCTGAGCGGTCCTCCCCAGAGGCAAGGTGAAAGGTCATGGCCTGTATCAGAAATTTATACGTTGCTGAATATGTTTTATAGTTCTTCCAAGGCCTTAGACACCGTTTTATTATATCGGATAAGCATTGCACTTTCTTGTCAATCAATACATTTAAAGAAAACTTGATCATAATCTTATACTGCGGCAATTGTAGTTCTGCTTACGGTCGCCTCTTTATGATACGGGCCACCACCACCTCCACTGCGCTGGAGCTCAGGCGTTCTACCCCTCCCCGCTACGGACCGGCCCTCGGGCTAGGTGTGTTAGTACTGAGCGCAAACCTGTAGTAGTCACGTGACTTTCATTCACGTAGCGGGAACGGAAGCTATAGGCGATACCAAGGACAGGCTCTGGGGAGGCAACCGGCCCGGAAAAATAGCACGATTGTAGTTTTGGAAGAATATCTGTTGCGGTAAGAGGAACTATACAAAACATACGTGCTAGGAGCAAACATGTGTTATTCCTCCATAATTTGCGCTACATTTCCTTTCTCCAATGGCCAGCACTTAGCAAATAATAGCGCAATTCTAAATTGGTAATATATGTGTACAGTAGCAACTGCGGGTCCCTGTACATTGTATTTGTCGCTGTAACAGCGGTGCTTAATAAAGAATGATGATGATGATTAGAAATTGTTTTAGTTCAGCGTGCGGCCTACGTTCAAACTGTATTGTTCTTTATTTTCGTCCCTCAATATAATTCTATCATATCGATTCGTCTCGGCCGCCTTATTGGTGACACCGACGTGGGCTGAATTTGACTTTTAACAATAAATCATTCCTCTTAAAGATATTATATATACCTATTCTAAAGACGACTTCAAAAGAAGAACGAGGAAGACTGCATGCCAAGAATTCGAAACGAAAACGAGATACTTCTTCATGACAAGAAACACATCCGACCAAAACGATTAACTGAATAATAGCCGGTGATTTCGGGCCGCGCCGCACCCACGCCGCGCCGCCTCCCTCCGCACCGGTTGATACCAGCGCACCGACCTCAAGCTCGCTTCTCCCAAGAGTGGCTCCACTGACTTGTGGCCTAACCTAGGTGGATCCAGGCCGCGCTGAGCCACGCCGCCTGCTCCACCGCGGTGCTTCTTTATCTTCTTATCTACCTACCTACATACCCAAGCGTTCATCAACGACATGTACTATACGTCGCCGCGAACGCAGAACGCAAGCCAGCGAGTCGCAAGTCGCCATCGCCGAAGTTTCCGGGCTGCGCCGTTTTATCGCCGCTCCCGTCCGACGCGGCAGGCGCTGTGCCGCCATTAACCCACGAGCCGCTGGGGGGGGGGCATAAAGTTGCCCCCCCTTTACGTTTTGTGAAATATCTCCGAAACCTGATCAGCTACGAACGTGAAACTTGGCATAGCTTCAAATGAATACCTAGGCAATGTTTGAGGAAAGTTTGGCGGTTGTAGCACCTAAGATGACGTCACAGTGACGTCATAAAGTTTTGTCGTTTTCCGATATGGACCGTTTCTGATGACGCTGAGCATGAAACTCGACTGTAAATGAACTAGACAGCACCTGTTGTCATCCTAAAACATCTTACTACACTTCCATCTAGTTTCTGACCAATAATCGGCCCTTTATATTCGGTCCCATATATGTGATGTATCGTGAGGAATATGAGAGTCGCAAATCTATAATTTCACTTATGACGTCACTGTGACGTCATTTCAAATTGGATCGACACCAAATTTGGACACAACCTCGGCTAGGTAATCAGGAAGATGTGTGCAAAGTTTCGCTTCTCTATCTCTTCGCGTTGCGACGATATCGCCGTAGAAGTAAAGGGGGGCAACTTTATGCCCCCCCCCCCAGCGGCCGGCGGGTGGCGCGGAGGCCCAGCGGCCGCCGGGTTAATAAGAGCTGGTCTGCGCCCATTCTGCTTGACAACTTGTGATCGATTTTGTTTAGCAATTTACTATAGCTATTTTCTAGCTCGGCTCTGGGACGCGGAGTGTTGTGGCGAGTTCGTACTTCCTTCTATTAGAGGTATCAAATAAGGCGAGATTTTATCACGCCTTATTTGATTCATGTTTATTTTCTTTTATTGTTGCTGCGCTCGTGAAAAACAATAGTTTTTTCAGCTCAGAAAACGAAGTCAACGTCGATATTAGAAATTGTTTTTAGTTCAGTGGTGTGCGGCCTACTTTCAAACTGTATTGTTCTTTATTTTCGTCCCTCAATATAATTTTATGGTCACTTGAAGTGACCTCACCTCATAAAAAGTCTTAATGTCTGCCATAGCTACACCGAGTGACCGATCGCTTTGAAACTTTCAGCGAATGCTAAGAGCAATAACATGTACAAATGTTTATCTCAAAATTTTGATATCGATGACCTAAGGTCAGGTCAATTTTGCGACCTCCCCATTATGTCAATGGGAGAAAATTGAAATACGCCTCTTTTGGACGAAAGACATTATAAACACTCCTAAACACTGCATTACAAGTTGTTAAGACGCACTGAACATGGAAATGGTGTCCGTGACCCCAGCTTATGCCCCTGAGGCCATCTCAGGTCACGAATGGTATCTAACAGTTTTTTTTTTTTAAATACTTTTCGATAGAGGCACGCTAGAGCGATGAAAACGCCTTAGATGTGTTCAGCTGGACGATACGGATCGACTGATATGCAACATGACCCTTTCCGGTCAGGTCATGACCTTGACCTGAGGTCAAATTTTGAAGTTGACCTTTCAAGGTCAAGTTATTGTTCATTCGATGCGTCTTGACGAGAGGAACACGATGCCGGTAAAAGTAAGCTCTTACAAGGCTTGGATCAAAAGTTATTGCAGAAAAAAACTATTTTGGCAGTTTTTGCCCCCTGCAGGCAAAACCGTTGACGTTAGGTCAAATCAGAGGGGATTACTCAGAAAGGGCGTCAGGGCTATCGAATGCACTTTTCTGCGGCGCTGTAGCTCTATTGGTTCCCGAGTTATGCGTTGGCTTCTTGGAAACTGTTGACATTCGACCTGGAAATCGGCGAAATTTTGCCTTCAATGACCTCTGGTGACCTGACCTTTGACCTGACCAAAAAAGTGACCGAAGTGATTAAGTGATTTCCTCATTATTTTTGGCGCTCTTCCAAACGCCGCCTTCCGCGTATCGCTACGTGGCCCAGGAGCCGAGTTAGAAGGGGGTGTCCAAACACCCCCCCCCCAGCAGGGCGTGGAAATCCAGGACCCCCAGCCGGGCGCGGATTAAGTGAGTTTATAATGTGGAGTCGAGACACCTTATTTCCAACGTGACTGACTCTCATAAAAGGGTTTCTTACTCCCTTGCCAAAATGCACGACTCTCTTTTTGAGATAGACAACTCCCCAACAAAGGCGTCAAGCATCCCTCTTTTGGTGTTGTACACCCTTGCAGAACTCACTGATCCGATTTAAGGGTATCATGACCTCTCAGGATGCAATATTTTGGCGTCGTCGAAAAAATGACGCCAAGAAATGAGGCGATGACCACACATTTTAGAGTTGGACACCAAAAATATAAGCACTCAGACTCCGGAATATGGAGTCGTCGTGGAGGTGGGATGTCCGACAATTTTTTATCCGTGTGGGTCAGCCTGATCGAGAATGCATGTATGCATTGAGCGACAAAACAGAGCTTATATACCAAAACAGTTGGGCGTTGGTCGGCACTTCTTGGTGGTGGCCGAAACGGGGAACACAATGATTGGCCGACAAACCACAAGAGAAGCAATGCGATTGGTGGACGAAAAGGTTACAGCGAGGCTGGGGTGATGATAATCAATACCGGGGGAGGTGGGCCACGATGCTGCGGTTTTTATGTTGTCCGACGCTCGTATCGATCCGGTCGGACAAAGCGAGCAGTACTTACATATTGTACTTACAATATTGCAGTGTTGTATACAAATCAATATTGAGGTAGCATATAGCGAAACATACCTTACGACACTATACCCTCTTCGGTTCTTCCCTGTCTCTTACATTGTAAACATGTAGAAATGTTTGTGCACTGAATTTAGTGTCTGTGACGTGTGTCCCTTCCGCTGGGTGTGACGTGTGTGTCCGTGCCCTGACGCGCACTGCCCCGTGCCACTGCCAGCCGGTCGCCAGCCTAGCGTGCTCCAGAAGGTGACGCTGCAAGTGTGGGAGAACTCGCAGTGCGCCAGCTCTTACGGCAAGTCGGCTCCGGGCGGTATAATCAGCTCCATGCTGTGCGCGGCCGCCGCCGGAAAAGACTCATGTAGCGTGAGTATAGGACGGTGACCGCCACCGTCCAACCCCAGATACCTATCAGAAACAGGTAGATCTTCTTCTTTTTTTTTTTTTGCTCGGTCGGCCTAGTGCCATTCCCGAGCAGGGGGCAGCTACTCCGGCAATTTTCGCCGGGCAGCAAGTGTTACGTTAAACTGGTTTATGTGAACCCGGTAGGTATCAGTTATAGTGCGTATGCAATATGTTGCAAGGCTGTAAGTGCTGGTTAACATTCCATGGATACGCGGCAGAACGCTTAATGGGTGATCTGGCGTGACCTGTCCTACCCCAAATGCTTTGATACATCATCTTTGATCAAAGCAAGTGCAAATTCGGAATCAGAAGCAAGCCAAGTCCCAGCAAACCTCACTTGTAGAAATTCAAGCAAGACCCAATTTTCCGTGCCTGGGTTATTAACCTGATCTGGGAGGTCAACATGACCTAGGATCTCAACAGTCAACATTGACCAGGACATAAAAATAATTGGCTTTCTCCTCGTCAGCGATGACCAGGACCCTCAAATCATCGGATTTCTCTCGTCACGACCAGCTCGCTTTTTTTTTGCTTTTTGAGCGAAGCTCTGGCTCTTTTTATCAAGGGCCGAATGGCTGAGGGTTTCTACGCCCCTCCGCTTCATGTAAGACGCTGAAAAGAAATGCCTAAATGGGTGAGGGTTAAATATCGATTGGTTTTTTAAGTGCCGAAGCCTGAAGCACTTTAATTTACTTCGATAGCAGTTTGACCAACTAGCTCGAATACTATAACTTCTTGAACAATGCATGTAAGCACCACATAAAATGAATCGTGAGAGAAGCGGCTCAAGATTTAGGAGCTATGAGACACTTAATAAAAAAACGGCATACATTAGGAACTGCAGGTAACTTCCACTGATTTTTAAACCTTTTCGTTGCAGACTTGTAGATTAACCCTCGCCCGTATTGGTGTTTTTCCAGCCGCGAACGTATAAGGGGGGGGGGGGGGGGGTCCGTTGGACCCCCTTGCCGTTTCGCCCCTGATCGAGCTAGAGCTTCGCAGAAAAAACGAGCGTGTTGCCCGTCACGAGAGAAAGCCGATGATACCCAATTTTAAGGTCCTAGGTCATCGGTTGACCTTCCAGGTCAGGTCAATGACCCAAAAGTCGGGGAAAATCGGGACCTGTTAGAAAGTCGTAAAGCGTGGCTGCTGTGGGGTTTTTCTGGGTGCTGATCACGAATATCATGTTAGTTTTGATTACAGATATGCCTTTATGCATTTCGGCCAGGTCAGGTCAGGTCAGGTCAGGTCAATCAGTAAGGGTTTTCGTAGTAGGTGGCAACCGCCTCTGACAGCTTCGTAACATGTTACGAAGGTGACAAAACTACTTCGTAAATGTTCATATGGTTGCTAAATTCGAATCCAGCTAAAAAAACTGACCTGAAAACATGTAAAACTCGAAAAAGTGAACCGAGGTCATCAAAGGTCAATGACCTGACCTGACCTTTCCGGTGACCTTGACACCCACCCTAATGCATGGGAGCAGCATCATATCCCATGTTTGGACGCTTAAAACCACGAAAAGACTACAAAGCGCGGCTAATGCGAGCCAGCATACGCCGAATCGCGATTCCGGCCAAACATGGTCTCGAAAAGTAGGTCACAGGTCAAAGGTCATTAAGGTCAGGGTCATGAAATATTCAGGGTAGGTGTAAAAGTGATAAACGCGAGGGTACTGAAAGTTTCGTCGCGATCGGCCGCTTTTTACGCGAGTTATTCGCGAAAAACCTAGTGGGGTCCGTTCGACCCCCCCCCCCATACGGGCGAGGGTTAAATTTTAGGATTGATGATTTCAGCTGATGCTCAAAGGATGTAGAGCTATTCATTCGTTCATTCATGCGACCATCCATTCATAAAAGAAGCCAGAGATAAAATTGTTCATTTTAGATAAGTGTGAAATAGAAACTCAATAAAAGTTTAATGATACGGCAAATTTGACAGCTTTTACAATGAATAGACAAATAACTTTAACAAATCAAAGTTGAGAGCCCCAAATACGTAACACAATTGAGGGCATTTTAGGCCATCACAGTATTTGTTAACAATTGTTGGGGGGGGGGGACTGGGGAGGGTGGTTGCTGGCTCATAAACTGTCCCCCCCCCCCCCCCCAAAAAAAAAAACGAAACCGATCATCCGCGAAAAGAACTATTGAGCTCGAACCGAGGTGACGAATCGATTTACACGCATGCACGATGACTAACGATGCCACTTTTTGACTTCTTGTGTCAAATTAATTCCATCATCTGGATAGCACGTCAACATTCTTTTTGACATTTTGCAACAACCGTATACTATTTGGCGCGACTAGCCTCAGAAATGTTCTGAAACTAAAACCGTTTCTTCGCAATCAACTTGGCCCACGTCATCCCAGCTTATGCACGACAAAAATAAAATAATGCTTCAGGATCACTGGCCTGAATTCCAATGCTTAGTTTACTCAAAACCGGTGTGGCTGAGGCACTATTCGCTACATCCGTGACGGCCACCATTGTGTTGCCTTTTTTTCGGTAAGCTGTAAGTTAATAAGGAAAGGGTTGGTGAGTGGGTTGAAAACAGCCCTCACCCTCCACCCCCCCTTCTTCTGGAACATAAGTAACCGAAAGATCTGGCGATGGTTTATCCATCTCCTCTGCCGCCGCGCTGCGAGGCCTCGATTCGTTCAGTATGTGGAGTCCTGAGCGGTCCTCCCCGGATGCAAGGTGAAAGGTCATGGCCTGTATCATAAATTTATACGTTGCTGAATATGTTTTATAGTTCTTCCAAGGCCTTGGACACCGTTTTATTATATCGGATAAGCATTGCACTTTCTTGTCAATCAATACATTTAAATAAAACTTTATCATAACCTCATACTGCGGCATTGTAGTTCTGCTTACGGTTGCCTCTTTATGATACGGGCCACCACCACCTCCACTGCGCTGGAGCTCTGGCGTTCTACCCCTCCCCGCTACGGACCGGCCCTCGGGCTAGGTGTGTTAGTACTGAGTGCAAACGTGTAGTAGTCACGTGACTTTCATTCACGTAGCGGGAACGGAAGCTATAGGCGATACCAAGGACGGGCTCTGGGGAGGCAACCGGCACGGAAAAATAGCACGATTGTAGTTTTGAAAGAATATATGTTGCGGTAAGAGGAATCATACAAAACATACGTCCTAGGAGGAATTATGTGTTATTCCTCCATACTTTGCGCTACATTTCCTTTCTCCAATGGCCAGCACTTAGCAAATAATAGCACAATTGTAAATTGGTAATATATGTGTACAGTAGCAACTGCGGGTCCCTGTACCTCTTACCGATTTGGAAGGGAAAATTTGGACAATCTGCGCTTATGAAATTGACGAAATTACTTCGAATATTCAACAAGTTGACGTGGAAATCATCAGGAAGAATTTTCCGCTTATAGATGTAAATGAAGTCACAATACCTCAAGGGAAGATTGGCATGCTTATAGGAGTGGATTCTTGTTTCATTATGCCCACAGTTGTAAGAACTGTTGCAAACAGTCAGCTTCTCCAAAATCAATTCGTGTGTTGCGTAAGAGGATGTTTAGATGTGGCAAAGGACAAGGGACATGGTACGAATCAAATGGTAGGGGAGGTTGGGGTAATTTGGCCGCTTTTTTTAGAAAACGATGTAACTTAAAATTGACGACACATTTCTCCATTTTCACAACGCTGTCACAACCTCACAATTTTCACAACCTCGTCACACCAAAAAACTGTTGATTGAGGCACTTGTGTTCCCCCAAATGCAGTACTGCATGTGTTTTTGGGGCGGTTACAGGACAATTTGCCGAACTGCGTTTTGCCGAATGCTTATTCGCCGAATGTCAATTTGTCGAATGCATTTTGCCGACGTGTCTCTTTGCCGACGTGTCAAAAGGCGAAGGGCTAAAAGTCGAAATGCAATTTGCCGACATGCCTTTTTGCCGACATGCAAAAAGTCGAAACGTCAATTTGCCGAAATGTTAATTTGCCGAAATGTTAATTGATCGAAATGTCAATTTCCGTAAAAGTCAATTAGTCGAAATGTCAATTCGCCGAAATGCTAATTAGCCGAAATGTAACTTTGCCGAAATGTCAAATTGCCGAAAGGTCAATTAGTCGAAATGTCAATTCGTCGAAATGCTAATTTGCCGAAATGTTAATTAGCCGAAATGCTAATTAGCCGAAATGTAAATTTGCCCGAAAAGTCTATTAGTCGAAATGTCAATTTGCCGAACTGCCAATTAGCCGAAATGTCAATTTGTCGAAATGCCAGTTTGACGGAATGTCAATTAGTCGTTTTTAGTTAGGTGCGCGATCCCTCGCACCAGCTCCGCAACACTGAGCTCGCCGTCTTGTCGGCGCTCCACTGTACGCTGCACCCTTGCTGCCAGCACTACCCACTGGCGTCGCCGCCCTAGCTCCAGGCCACGGATTGTCCAGCTCTGCGCGTCCCGTGTCCTCCTCATCCCGCAGGGTTCGAAGCAGGGTGGCCGTGCTTGGATGGTTGCAGGCCAGTCGACTCTGGGAGCCATGATGCCAGCCTTCCAAGGCGTTTGTAGTTCGGGCCAGCCGGGCCAGCGTTATTGCCATATTAGCCCGGAATCACCAGGTTTATGTATGATGAATCTGAAGAGTGGCAGAAGAAGTCATTCTTTCTGTCCGTACTCTCACACTGATCGGCCTGGCGACTCCTGACCACAGTCCGGCCGAGAACAGCATAATCTGTGCTGGTCACGCGGCGCTTCACATAACGATATCGGTCACACCCGGCGCGGGACTTTCCCGTGCCGGCTCTCCACGCTCTCCGTCCGCCGTGCCGGCGCACGCACGGGCATTTACGGCCTCTGCTCCGACCCAGGCATAGGCGATCCCAGGCCCGGCCGGAGGGGGGACGGACGACGTACCACACCCCGCCCCCCTTTACATAAAAACATGACGCTCACAAAGCAAAAACTGTTAACACGCAAAACAAC